CTTTATGTACTAAATTTGAGGGGGGAGCGCGAGCCAAAAAACGCAATTTTTGGTCAAACTTTTCCAGAAAAAGCTTAAAAACGCCTTTTTGGCCTGTTTTTTCAAAAATTTCTCTGCGGCGCTTAAAATTAATGCTTTGGGAGAGCTCGGATTATCAATATGATCGACCTTAAACACCATCCCCCCTTGAGAAAACCTTAGATACGCCCCTGTTTGAATAATCTGAAGAAATCCTCCAAAAACAAAGTTTTTTGCAAGCTGTCTTTATAGATAAATAGTTAAACTTTTTGAAACTGAAAGCTAAAAGGTATACAAAGATAACATCAGCCACTTTTTGTACGGAATTTCTAACGTTTTATACATGCAAACTTGAATATCTACAACTATCACAGTAATCCAGCTCAATTGCACAAAACTAGCAAGCGTGTTTCCAATGGTCAATCAATCGCTCGCAACAAGTTGGTTGTTGTTCTGATCCAGCTATTCATGTTAAGCCATATCAAGAGTCGGTTTAAAAAATTTTAAACTTCATAGACCATGTCGATTAGCGATAAGTAAGCATTTCTAAGCAAACTATTCAGGCAATGTAATTTTGAAATACTTCAAGTTATTCCATGAGGCAAATCATACGAGAAAAGTTTTTCAAGTTATTTTACGTGAGGAATCAGATGGCGAAAAATTAAAGTTTTTTTGTTAAAGCCGTTCAAGTGATAAACTTTTGAACATTTGAGTTATTTCATGGAGCTAATCGGATGACGAAAAACATTTCTTAAGCAAGCTAAATCAAGCCTTGAAACGTAAAAATATTTCACAGAGGGAATCGGACGAGGAAAAAACTTAGTTAATCAATTGGAGCCAATCAATCTTTCGCCAGGCAATTAAAATTTTTAATCCGCGCATCTCCCATAAAATTTTTTGTAACTAGGCTGTACTTTTGAAACTCGTTTGCAATTTCTATGAGAAAACGAGTAAACTCGAAAACAAAGACAAAAACGATAGTGTCCGGCAAATAAAAAAAGAAATTTAAAAGGACAACCATTTTGATGAAGCATTAAAAAGACGCTACACACAATTTCCCAAACGTCAGTCGTTTAAATTCAAAACGTAAAATCGTTTTTACGAGAATAAACTAAAATTAAAAAACCTAGAAACTGTATGCAATTTAACTTTCAGGCAAAACCGTTGTAATTTCCACATTCTTTCAACATAAAAAAAAACGAAAAAGTCGAAAAAACTAGATCTATCAAAAAGAATAAAGCTAATTCTGAAACAAAAACATGCCAGGACAATAGAACCTGAAATTAGCATTGAAATATAATGAACCCAGCCAGCGGTAAAAAAGCCGAAAATTTCTTGGCAGCAAACCTTTAAGCCGAAAAAAAAATCCAACAGACTTAAGCCTTGTGAGAAATTAATAAGTCTCCTCATCCTCAAAACACTTTCCTTGCGCTTCAAATGAAACAGTAGAGGGCCACTAAGACTATATAGTTAGGCCGAAATATATTAGGTCCACAAAAAAAAGCCGAAAGAAACAAAAACAAATTCAGACTAATCAGAATTTATTAAGTCCCCCTCACTCTTAAAAACAGATACGCATACACAAGCCTTTTTCGATCATCAAAAGATGCAATTTGAAGCCAATAGTCCCATATAATACAGGCCGAAACCTACCAAGCCAAAAATAAGGAAGAAAACAACCGAAAAAGAAACGTTGTCATGAAAAACTTGAACTATAAATTCTATTGAGATTTTTAGCATTTTATAAAGTATGCTCACATTGAAAGGACTCTAAATTAGGTCACTAAGTTGATAAAATATAAAATTAAATTTTATTGGGCGAAAAGAAGTTTTTAAGAAAACAAAACAAAAACAAATATACTAAGTCAAGGTTGAAAACATTACAAAAAGCAGAGGTAAATCAGAACTCTAAAAGCATTTTTAAGGTAAATAAAAAAATTCTATACGAATGTACAATATGGCAACCAAACCGTAAAAACATAAGCAAACAAAAATAAACCGACTATTTTTTAAATAGATTGTTTTTCTGTCCCAGGCGCCTTCGTTACCTCAAGACCAGGTGCGCCGGAGACGCAAAAAAGTGAATTCATAAAGAACTGAACCTAAATTTACTAAATTCACCATTTTTTATTTTTGACCATCTGGTGAACAAAGTTATTTACCTGAAAAAAGTCTGGTAATTGATTGCAAAGTTTTTTTTTAGATCAAGGTTAACCAAAAAAATGGAGTTCAATTTTTTTGCCAAAAACGGATGCTGTTACTCAACGGTGTCCAATTTAAAAACATCGCAAAATTTAAATTCAGTTTATTAATTTTCAATTTGACAAAAATTTAAAACAGATTATTTTGTGTGATGTTTATAAATTGGCCACCGTTGAAGAGCGACATCGATTTTTGGAAGACAACAAAGCTGATTGACTCCCCTCGATTATCGTCTAAATCTCTAGTCATCTTAAACAATGTCTTCATGCCCTGTCGTTTCAATTAGGTAGCATCGTCAACAAAATTTGCGTTTTCTGTTTGTCGGCTCAAAAGACTATTAGTTAAGGTAGGCAACAACCAATACGGTAAAAACAAACTTTTTATATAGCCTAATTGTTGATACGTATATTAAAATTTTAGTCCTTGTAAAAACTGAAAACCTTCGTTACCTTAATCAAACAGTAATTTTCATGTGGGTGTTTTGGAATATTGTTATTTCATATTTTATGCAATTGAGCGGTAAACTCGTTGACTTCAGTTCATGAAAAACACTTATGCTTCAATTACTCGTTTTAAAACAACAAAAAAATTCTGAAAAAAATTATAGTTATGTTTCATCCATGGCTACAAGCTCGGTTAAAACAATGTAGAGCTCAGTTTTCATCAAATTAGATGCTGTGCACCTCCTAAAAATCATTTAAAAACTTACGTTTATGAAAAATTTCATTATTTTTTTAACACCGTATAATTTTTGAAAGGAGTTCTATTTAATAACGTATCATAGAACTTCGATATTACGTGAATTTTGAGAAGAAGCTTCGCTCTCTTTCGACATTTCAGGCAAACTTGAAAGAAAAAAATTCGGCCGTTTGCCAATTTTCAAACAAAATTGGGATCTAAAATTTTTACCACAGTATGATTCTCGTGAAATATAATCCTGCGGATAACATACTAAGAAATTAAAGTAAAATATAGCAATACAAAACGAAACTCACTAAAACTATAACAAAGTTGAATGTTTCTGAAAGGTTGCTATCCTCCAAATTGCGCGTACTTTTTCCCCCAAAACATAAGACATATCAAATCCTGTTGTTGGAGGTAACAAATTACTGACATTACATAAATTTCAAAAAATAATCAGCAAAAATCGATTATTAGCAAGGTTAAATAGTTTGGAAAAACTGTCAGCACAAAAAATTAAAACACAGAGGCGAAGCGGAGCTTCGCACCACCTGCGATTACCAAACATAGGCAAACAAAAACAAAAGAATTTGAAAAAAAAGGTCTACCAAAAATTATTTTTTCGTGCTAGGGGCCAGCTACAGCTGGAAGTACCTGTTTGATAACTTTTGAATTTTTTGTACCGATGCGGAATGAATCGGGTAATTTCTAATTTTCAAAAATTGGGTATCACAAAACCTTAGTTGTTTTTCTTATAAAATAATTAGGAGTGGGTATTTTTGAGAATTTGGAATTTTACCAAGAATAATTTTTTTTCTTACAATTTTAAGGGCGTAGCAGTTTTCTACACGGAAGTTTCCGGCAACTTGTTTTGCTTAAAAAATTGAGATCAGATTCGGCTGAGTAGTGTTAAGTTTGAAAAACAAACATGAAATCAAATCCTTCTTTTTCTGAGGGCCACAATCTTTCTGAGGGCCATTAAAAAAATTGAACTTAGCTGCTCAAAAGAGGAGCTTGTGTCAACCCTTTCTTTTGAGCGAACTCAAAACCTCACATTTGGGTTTGTCGTTTCCGAGAAAAGTCAAATTTTTTTTTTAAAAAAAAACGGTTTAAAGAAAATTTTAGTGTACAAGTTGGGCGAGCTGTTTATGCAGTAAAGCTTAAAACGACCAATTTTTTCCAGTGAAACCAAAAAAATCAGATTTGAGAGGGTCATAACTTCTAGTGTTTAAAAATTTTGTTGCAACAAGTTATGCAGAGGAGCTGTTCCTGCCGACCCAAAGGGTCCCTCTTTGGTACTTTTTAGGAAATCCACTTTTGGCCGACCGACCCTAAAATTTTTCTAAAGGCGCCAATATGAACTAAATTTAATGGAGGAGCGCGCGTCGAAAAAACGCGACTTTTTGGTAAACTTTTTTTTAAAAAGTGCCTAAAAACAGCTTTTTGGCCCGTTTTTTTTTAATTGGGCCATAACAGCGTTTTTTTAGTGCTTTAGGAGAGCTCGGAAAATCAATTTGGCCGACCTAAAAAAAAGGTCGTCAAAATTTTCGAAAATTTTTTTAAATCCCCCCTCCTCTCGAGAAAACCCTAGATCCGCCCCTGCATTGAAACCAAACAGATTCGGGAGGGTAATTTCAAAAAACGGTTAAAAAAATTAAAACTTTTGTGAAGGTCATAACGTTTTGTGTAAGAAAAATTGGGCGGAGCCGCTTGTACAGGGGGAGCTTCCCACAACCTGTTCTATCCATTGAACCCAAAATTTCAGATTTGGGAGGGTTGTTTTCGGGAAAATGTAAAAAGTTTTCGCTTGAAGCGGTTTTCTTACTAATGTTTTCATTTCAATCGGTACCTATGTTTTACCAATATAGCAACATATCCGCTCGAAACTGTTCAGCTGCAATTTGTGCTTTTTCAAGTTTAATATTTATATGACTTTCTCTTAACCGGTTTTGCTCTGAGAGTGGAACAGTTATGGATCAATCAATGGCACTTTCATATGGATTTTTTCATCAATGGTAATCATGTTATCTTTGCATGTCAAATCAACCCAATGTCATTTTGAAATTCTTCGTAACTGCCATTTCTACTCTACTAAAATGCGCATTCTAAATAGTTTAATTTGAGCATATTAGGAAGAAGCAAGAATAAAGCTCTAATTTACACTGCGTATATCTCGAATAATTCACAACAGTCAATTTCAGTTCTCATCAGTTTACTTAAGCATCAATTAGCGCAACTTGAGTCAGGTACTCAGCGAACAACTCCATTCCTTTGAAGTAGTTTCTCTGGTCTAGCTTCTCGTTTTGCGAGTGGGCCGAGTCGTCACATGCGCCCATTGGCAGCAACATTACACTTTTCTTGAGGGCGTCTTGGAAGAAAAGAGTGACTGGAATACTCCCGCCTTCTCGCGTCAGATCCGGCTCCTCTCCAAACACGTTCTTACACGCAATTCGTCCTGCTTTGAACTGTGGGTCATTAAAATCTGCCAACCATGCTTGGACGCCGTGTTCCAATACAATTTCTAACTTATTCGGGCTGCCTAATTTCGCAAAAACACTTTCAAGATGAGTCTTTACAAGTTTTTCCACTTTTTCTTCGTCCATGTTTGGGACAAGTCGGATAGAAAACTTCGCAGTGACCTTTCGAGGAATGACCGTTTTGGACCCTGGATCCGCAAAAGCACCTTCGATACCATGGAGTGACAGAGATGGGAATCGCCATCTGTTCATCATGAGCAACTCTTTCGAATCGTGGATCAATTTGGTCGCTCCAATTTCGTTCTTGAAATGTTCCGGGTCGAAGTCAAGTTTTGGGTACACAAGTTTTTCGTCCTCTGAAACTGGTGCGACCATATCGTAAATTCCAGGCACCAAAATTTTGCCTTTGTTATCAACCAGGCTTGACATTAGGTTTACAAGATCAGTCATGGCTTCCGAAACTGCGCCTCCATAGACACCAGAATGAAGATCTTTGCATGCGCATTGGACAGACACGAAGAAATATGCCATTCCACGGAGTCCATAAGTCAAACAGGGTTTGTTTTTGCCCAGCCAGTAATTGTCAGATATACACACGTAATCAACGCCTTGCAGAAACTTATCCTTTTCATCATAGACTAATTCCTGAAGACCATCAGATCCACTTTCCTCCATGCCCTCAAAAATGAATTTCAGGTTCACTGGAAGCTCAACTTCGCACGCTTTAAACGCTTCCACTACATTCAGCCAGCCAAGTACTGGACCTTTGTCATCGGAAGATCCTCTGCCAAACATCCTACCTTCAGCATCAATTGTCAAATCAAACGGTTCCGTGTTCCAGCCATCGGAGAGAGCGGCTGGTTGTACGTCCAAATGTCCGTACACACAGATTGTCTTCTTTTTAGGGTCGTTTCCCAGTTTTCCCAGAAGGATCGGAGGCAGTGGAATTTCGCCCTCGGGAGTCTTTTGCATGCCAATGTCTTTCAATGTGGTTTCAGCACCAAGTTTATCCCATTCGGCTTTGACAAAGTTAACCATTCGAATTACTTCAGGTCTCTGGGCGGGACTGGCAGACACGCTCTGGATAGCTACCCATTCTTTCAACCTCTCAACGTAAAGCTTATGATTCTGCTGCAAATGTTCAATTACTTTAGCAGTGGATGCCATATCAAGATTATCGACACAATTAATCAATCTGAAATTTGAACGTTCGTTTACTAAATGGTTTTATATTTTATCTAAGAAACAGCAAATAAAAATATGCTGCCAGTTAAATATATAATTGGACCTTTGATAATAAAAAAGAGAATATGATCTCAAAATATTCGCTATGATTTACGCCTGAAAAACCCGATAAGAACAATCGCGTCTGTAAATACTTATTGGAAGAAGTAGATTAACTCATGAATTTATAGAAACAAGACATGACACTCCAAATATACGTGCAAAAGTTACAGTGCGTCAATAACCTGAGTTTTATTCAAGCATATACGCGCGCATCACGGCATAAACCTGGTTGTTCAGATTACCCTTAAACGCTTATCGAGTACATTTCAATTCTAAAAGAGATGAAAAACCACCTCCACATGTTATGCTAAATAGAGAATCTCTTTCAGTATTCCCCCTCTGATAACGAGTAACGAATTGCCGCCCCTATAATGAAACAATTCAACGGCTACGCATATGCGAATTTTTTACCTAGTAAGTAACTAATCTCCTCCACTTTTGCAAAAGGATGGAACAGTTACAGAGATCCAAATACAAAATGATATATATAGTGACGTACAAATCAGAAATTTAATTTCGGCTGATGTCCTGCACCCATATCATTTATGACTCTTCGAACGTTTCGGTCTCCGTCGGCTGATGTTCTGCACAAAAATTGGATATACTTAACAATCGCCCTCTGTGTTATCTACTAAAGAATTGACACCCATATAAACCAGAAATAATAGCCTATCTAAAACAATATACAATGATTTATGAATCGGATTCATTCGCGGCTTACGAAATCGTGCGATATTAATTCCAAATTGACACTTTTCTGCAATTTTGCAAAAATTGATCACAGGCGGAACATCGGTACAATTATGATAGACAGGCCCCTTGAAATTCACCAGGTCCCTTCGGAAAAGATAGCAAGACCTCTTAAATCGCTGAATCATTAAAAATTTGCCATTCACAAACATGTCACAGTATATTTTTACTGACGCTACCCTAATTCGACTTTTTGAATTCAACATAATTCGCGAGACTTTTGAAAGAAATTATTTATGCACTGTTTTCAAATTATCACATGTGATATACATGTGGGGAACCGTCTATCATAGTAGTACCAAAATACCTTCGCACTCAAAGGCATTCATATCGTTAGGATAGTAAGAAAAACAGTAAAAAAAAATCGGCATGTTCGAAGGTCAATTTTTATCCGAAATGTGCCAGTCGGTCATATGAAAGAAGTTCTTCTTGGTTCGAATGGAATTTTTCAAACTTTCGAATTGACCCTGTCATGCTCAAGTTTCTCGCGACAACTGAAATACAAAAGTCAATAATCAGAACAGTCGCATTAACAATTGCTGGAAAGTAGATAAAAAATCAGAGAGTCAAATTGCTATTCGCAATTTCTCCGTAGATATGAAGCTTGAGTAGATTTGTCTTTTTTCTGACAAAGAGTAGATACAAGAGTGCAAATTGTGGAGCACGAGGACTCTTGACTGGGCAGGTCACCCAGAAGTGACCAAATGGTACAGAACTTGCTTGAGCAACTTAGTTCTGTTACTTAGTTCCCGAGTTGTTGTCAAGATGTGAGTACCTGAGTTTAATTGCTTGAGTGCATTTTATATAGTTCTGTTGAGGTGAGGAGAGTATTACGTTGATCTATCTGAAATAGATCAGATATACACTGTCCCATTAAAACTAATGGTGCTTATGTGGGGTCCCAACCCTGTTTTTACCGGCGATCGCGTGTTAGTTTATTAGAGACCTAGCTATGGGGGCGTATTTATTGCTACCTAGAGTGAAGTGATATTCTGGTAGTGACTTTTAGGCTGCAGCGATCCTAAAGTTCCATGTCATAAGCGAACAGTGAAATAACTCCGACTGATTGAGGTACAGAAGCACAGGAGATAGTAAACTTGACCCTTGAGCCAATGTTCTTTTTTTCTTGACCATATATGGGAGTTGACTGAACGACTGTTACATAGTATTTTATGGCACCCTTGGATGTTTTTACGACATCATGACTACGGGATCAAACACCATTACGTGGCTGTGTGCGGGATGATTAAGAAAAACCTATTTTGAGCAGTTTCAGATGACGGCGCGCGTGAATCGGCGGGCTAAACTAAAGAAGCACCGTGTGTATCGGCGAGTACACTCTTAACGGTCAAGGCTAACCGTGTGGCAGCGTGTGAATTGGCGGGCGCTTTCTACACGGGATAGCCGTGTGGCAATTTTTAACTTCTAAAATCATTAAAAAAGACCCTGTTGTGGCCATATTTTTTGCCCTGGAGACAAATTTTTGAAGAACATGCAAAAAGGCGTTCTTAAGCACCCTTTGGACAATTTTTTTTTCGTGCGCGCTCTTCCTTCATAAATGGTATATATTGGCGCCAAAGGCGCCTTAAGAGAACTTTTAGGGTCATTCAGCCAAAAATGAAGGTCTTAAAATCGTACCAAAGGGGTCTCTGGGTAGTGACGAGTCGAAATCCTACGGAGGAAACTTCCGAGTTCCAAACAACAACCCCCATTAAATACGCTCCTGATGTCATCTGGTTGGACCGTTCATTTCCGAGGGATTCCTTACATGGTACAAAATTTGGCACCTTTGACATTTTCAAAACAATGTACCATGCGTATCAGTAGAGAATATTTATTAAGACACCATTTGTTTTAAGTGGGCTACAGCTGGGGCGAATGGGAAGATAGCACGGTTTTAAACAACATAGATCACATCGGGAAGAAAGGCAGGTCCCGTTTGCTCTCTGATAATATCGTTTCCGATTCGTCTATGTGCAATGGAGTCCCCACGGAGATCACAAAATGGATCAAATTTGTCAAGGAGCCCCAAAGCTGGAGGAAAACCATCGAATCATGTGGAAAGCTGAATGGACGACTTTTTAAAAACTTCACTTCAACCGTCGACATGCAGATTAACCTAAACAAAATTTCTGAATGTTTCTGGCTCGGTATACAATCAAAAGCATGAGACAATCGATGGGTGAGTCTTCAAGGCATGGACTTTTAGCTACAAGTACGAGGTAACTGGAAAATAATTGAACTTAAGGATCCTCAAACAGAGCTGAAGTTGAAAAACCAAGGCAGCCCTCGGCTAAAAAGTAGTCTTGAAGGTGTTAATCTAAATATCTAAAAATGAATCAAACCAATATATGAACACCGCCTGAAACCGAGTCTCAGTTTCTATTGGTTTCCTAAGAAAAAAAAAATAAAGAACACCTGAATTACTATACAGTAAAAAGCCGAGGCATCAGTATAGCAAAGTGTAAATAATAAAGTTGGTTAAAATTCATTGGTTACATCAAACAAAAACACAACATCAGAAAACAAGCAATAAACAAAACAAAACAAAACAAGTTCGGTTACAGTTCAGAAATTGGTTGATTAAATAATATGAAGTTACGGATACTAAAAAAACATCAGTTTTAAGAATTAAGAACGAGCTGGTATCAAAACTTTACAAATGATTTTATAGATAGTCCAAACATACAGCGTATATACAGAGTATATACAGATTCTCTTTCAAAAAATGTCTGGAAAATTAAACTAAATTAAAACATATAAAACTAGCAAAAACGGAAATCACGCCACGTATTTGTATTTGTACATATTGGATTATTTCTCAATTCACTCACGTAAAATTCTTTCAATTTTTTCTTGAATCCTGTTCTCGATTTTTCAAAATTGCGCAAAATTATGGGCAGTGAATTCCATTTTTTAGAAGTCAAATGAAAAAATGATTTTTGTAGAGAAGCGGTTGAACATTGTTTGTCAAAAATAATTTGTTTCATTCTTTTTTTGAGCCTATAATTGGCAGTCGGTAGTGTCAATGTATTTTGAAAAGCCTTCTTTTTGTTTGTAAGATACTGGTATAAGTATGTTATACACTTTAACTCAATTCTTTTCTCGATTCCAATGAACGATTTGCTAATGCGAAGAAGGGAAGAAGATTTAAATTTCGATCTGAAATATGTTCTGTTTAACGCCCAGTTCAGCTGTTTCTCTAGAGATAGCATCAAAGTAGCATTAATTTGTTGTAAAAATATTGCTGAATAAACTAAATGTGATAAAACAAGACAATGAAGCAAGGCAACTAATGATAATGTCGGCAGTTGTTGTCCAATTGTATCTATAGTTTTAATTCCTTGTGCCATTTTTTGGAGAATTGTTTTGATTTGAGCATGAAAAGATAAACTTGAATCAAGATCAAGGCCTAAATACTTGCATTCTAATTTTTTGGCTACATAATGCCCATTAATTACTATTGTATCAATATCTACATTTTTGCTATCATTTTTTTGACAAAATGTTATAAATTCCAATTTAGATGCATTCAGATTCAATTGGTTCTCTGCAAAAAATTCCGTTAGATTATTAAGTGATTTTTGCAATCGTTTCAAAGCATCCTCAGAAATTATAGAAGAGGAAAAAACCATACATTCGTCAGCATATTGAACTAAAGTACAACCTTCATATAATCGCTCTTGTATGTCATTAACATATAAATTGAACAACAACGGACCAAGTACCGTTCCTTGTGGGACACCTCGTTTGATTTCAATCCAGTCTGAAAAGATTCCATTGACGTTTACTCTTTGAATACGTTTGTTTAGCAAGCTAGCAATTAAAGCATTTGCTCCATTTGAAAAACCGAGAAAAAGCATTTTTTCAATTAAAACTTCATGCGAATTAGAATCAAAAGCCTTGGACAGATCGAATAAAGCTGCATGTACGATTTTTTTTGAATCTATTTGATTTCGAATACTTTCTGTCACATAAACAAGAGCATCTTGTGTTGAAATGTTTTTGCGAAATCGGAATTGAAATGGTGTCATTATTTGAAATTTGTCAAGATATTCTGTTATTTTGGCATGTAAAATTTTTTCAAAAGTTTCAGAAAAGGCACAAGTTATTGATATTGGCCGATAATTTTTTTGCATCCATTGGGTCATCTTTTTTAAACAAAAGGGTTACGTGTGCTTTTTTTCAGTTCGATCGGGAAAATGTTCTCATCTAAGCA